TAAGAGTTGGAACATAGCATGATGCAAATATTTCAGGAACTAAAATAGAAACTTCCGTGGATAAATTACTAGTGTCTTCATTTCTTCACTCTTAAACCGTGCAACTCTTTTAGATTACTATTAAGGACGTATCGCAGGGAATATAATGACATTTAACTTTTCATTTTGTGCTCAGTCCAAGAAAAACACATAAGCAGAGCATGTCCATGCAAATCATATGGGATAACTTGCAAGTGTAAGACACAAAATACAGACTAGTTAAGCTGAAACAGTTGTTTGTTCCCCATTTCAACAAGCTTTTATAGAAAACATAATTCGATAAGTACAAGCTCTTCCAGAAACAATAAACGCAGACTTGAGGACATCAAGTAATAACAGTGCATTCTTCAATTTGAGTATTCAAAGAGATAACAGAAATACTTGCATCTCAGCAGAAATTAGGACCATATCATGTGAAACAGTTAAAGTATGTGGCACAACTCTGAGGTGAAAGTATGTTGTTCGGATTCTTCAAAAAATGTTGATGGGTGCGTGTCAGATACTCCAAAAGTAGTGCAATTTTGGAGAATCCGACACGGGTGCGGCTACATGTTTGGAGAGTCCGGGCAACATATGGTGAAACTAATTACCTGCACCGGTAATGCTACACCAACATAGGTCATGATATCGAGTATTATGCTTGGATTCCCATCCCATTGCATCTCTAATTCCATAGTAATACCCTCACTTCCATCTTCAATAATAGAAATCCCTGCAGTGGCATATATATGAGATCAAGCATTTGTTAAATGTAGTGAGATTCATCCTCACAAGCAGTTTCTTTTATTAAGGATTAACTAACACGAGATGCTAGGATTGCTCTTTGAGGTTTGAATATCTTTTATACCCCTGCCTGTCTCAAATTATTTGTCACATTTTGACATCTCAAGAGGCTATAAATGGCAGGAAAATGTTATGCAGTTTTTTTTTTTTTTTTGATGGTGGTGGTGTCCGTGCAGGGAAATGTTATGCTACTCCAAACATAAGCATGCCATAAAGACCTAGAGGACTGATAAGTTTGTTCATATGTATAAGTGACTCCTAAAACTTTAAGGTAGTACAATATGCAAGAGCTTTGAGGCATGTTACGCCAGCCATCGTCTACTAACCTGTGAATTGTGGAGCAACTGTACCAAGAGTGAACTTTGAAAACTTTAACGACGCCAAAATCACAGGCCTATATTGTTCCAAAATTGGCTCCACACTTGACTTTACTAGTTCTGATGCTGCCTGACCATATATACCCATACCGACTCAATTAGCAACAAAAAAGTTCCAACAATCAGAAATCAGAACCAAAAAAAGGGGGATACAGAAAATTGCAGAATCGCAATAGAGTGAGAAACTAAACTATGTATAGACATTGAACCCCTAACCTCATCCACATATGGCCAGATCTTTTCAAGATGAGAATTAAGCCATGCCAACTGTAAGAAAAAAATTGAAAAATTTAAAAGGTCATTTTTTGCTCTCAATAAACTAAATCACAACATCTATTCTAGATAGAAAATAAACAAAGTCCATAAAGGGACAGTCTTGCAACCAAAGACCACAATTTGAACCATAATGCATGAATTTAATCTCAATGATCTTATATGGTCACTATGTGCTCCAAAAACAGATAAGGACATCAACGGTGTGTTTGTAATCTCTTTTTTCTGATTTTGGTTGCTAGAACATATGTTTTGCGAAAACATTTTCCACCAAAAAGGAGCAAACAATTATCTCAACATATAAACATTATTATCAATCTTTACTACTCAAATATTTTTCACCAAAACACTATCCGATTTGCTTATTCAATCTTCAATAAATGTCTTCTCCCAGAAAAGCTTTCCATTCTCCAACCAAACACAAAAAACATTTTCCAGAAAATAAGTCATTTTTCAGATTTATGATAACTGACATTGCTTTAGCTACAAGTACATCAAAATCCAGTAGCTTTGGTTTAACCCTATATTAATGTTATAAGATGTAAAAATAGTCTTTTCAGTCAATGTTGCTCGGACTCTTCAAAAATGGTTACGGTTGATGGTTAGTGTCGTATACTCCAAACTAGTGCAACTTTAGAGAATCCAAAATGGGTACAAACAACATTTTCTGAGTGTCCAAGCAACATAGCTTTCAGAAACCCAACAAAACAAAAAGAACAGTGGTCTAGAACCCATATAAACTAAAAATTCTGACTCCGCCACTATGTCCTACCAAATACATCCTAAAAAAAAGTTAAAGATTTCACCTTTTGTTGATTTGAGAAAACAACCCAAGAAGGGTATTGTTCTGGTGTAAAGATTTTTCTTGAATCTTCCACTGTCATTCTAGCAAATGCAGCAATTCCACTAGCCTTTACAATTCAACCAAAAAAACAACATAAATACAAAAAAAAACCCAGAAATGGAAAAAAATAAAAATCCAAAAAAAAAACAAAGACTTTAGTTGACTAACCAGATCAGTACGTTGTTTGGATCTAGCATTTTCAGATTTCACAAAAGCAACTATTATAGCAAGTCCAAATGCTATTCCAAACACAACCCCTAAAACAAATGACATTTTTATTCCACTTTTTCTTGAATCCCTTCTTCCTTGTTCAGTGATTTTTGTAAGCTAATAAACTGAAAAATGTTGAAAAGATCTAAAAAAAGGTGAGATTTTGAATCTGTTTTTGGAGTTTTCTTCTTATGGGGTTTTCCTAAAAGATGAATTCTTGAAAAAAAATTACATCTTGAGATTCACTGAAACTTAAAATTGTTCAAAGAAGAACTCAAAGTTGGGATTTTTAATCTTTTTTTTGGAGTTTTCTTCTGGTGGGATTCTTCCAACAGGTAAATTGTTGAAAAAAAATAAAATTAAAAAGTATATCTTGAGACTCAATGAAAGTTGGAATATGTATTGAAAAGTGAAACTTCATTTTAATTTGTTTGTCTAGTTTTTACCGACTTGATATAAGTCTAAGAAAGTTAAAAAAAATCTTTGAATCGTATGCTTTTAAAATGATTTTTAAACATGTCACGTGGAATTTTGAAATTTAAAATTCAAAATAAAAAAGTATATCTAAGTAAAGAAGAATTTTAATGATATAATATTAAATTAAAGTTATATAAAAAGACATATCAAAATATCTTTTAATGTTGTAGTTTTAAATATATATTATGTGAAACGTTGAAATAAAAAGATGTTCAAAATGAAAAAAATTACTCTTTTTGAGACAAATTAAAGTACGATAAATAAATTAAAATTATAAAAATATTTCAAAAAAATAATAAAACAAACAAATTAAAACGAAGAAAACTGATGTTTTCAATCATCTTTCTTGTTATAATCAAAGCTTTTGAACGGCCATAACCAGACAAAGATACTTTAATTGTTTTCAAAGTGTCCAAACTAAAATTAGGAAAAGAAAATAGGAATGTCATTTTTCTGACAGGTGAGTTGACTATTTGTGGGGCAATATTTTTAACCAATTATATTTTGCCATGTGGTCAAATTATGTAAAGTTTTAATTTATCTTTCTTAATTTTTAAATAATTTGATTATATTTTTCTCTTTGTTAAATTAAATTTGGGAATAAGTCTATTTTAGTCCATCAAAAATAACTTTGACATGTAGTTTTGCAGATAGTAAAGATCCAGATGAAACTGAATCACAGGTCTTGAATTCGAACCTGAAAAATAAAAAGAAATCCTTATATAGAGCGTTTTGCCCTTTTAAAAAAAACCTTTCCCTCATTGATAATCAAACACTATGAATTAGTTGCTAAACAACCAGAGACGTAACTTTCGTTCACGAAGACCGAAGTATAAATATATGTAAAAAAAATTATCAAAATCAAAATCACGGAAGTTGATACTGAGTTAGAGAACATTTTAAGGCTGATTTCTGTTTAGAAAGATGCAGAACCACAAAATTATTAGCCAATTCTGTAGTTTTGAGTACTCTTCTGCATCAATTTTTTTAAAAATTAACTTTCTAATATTAAGTGATTTCAATCATAAACCAAACTGATATATTTGATTACTGCTTTGCTTTTTCCTGTTTTGTTATGCTGATGAGTTATGTTGCTCCGAATCTCCTAAAATATAATGACACCAGCGTTGGTTACTTAAAATTGCACTACTTTTGAAGAATCCAACACGTCCCGTTGACATTTTTGAAGAGTTTGAGTAACATAGCTAATGAGCAGCTGTGTAGATCACTTCTATCAACTTGAAACAAAAACAAACTAACATAACTTGAATAACTATTGATATTAAAATAACACACATATAATTATGTTTCTATCAAACATATATAAACAACAAACAGAAAATTAAAAATACAAAAACAGAACCAGAAAAATTCACTAATTATTCCACAAAATCAAACAAAGACAAGTTGGCCCTCTCAATCTTCCATTAAGTCCGTCGTCTCTGAGCTCTCTTCTTTGGCCTTCTTCTTTTGTGAGGCATGAGTCCGTCGAAAAATTCCACAAACCATTTTGGCTTACGATATTTAAACATAAGACTCCACATGACAGTTCCAACAACTAGTCCAAAACTGTAGCCTATGACTACTGATTCCCACGTAAATCCACTAAAAAAATATGACTCACCTTCTTCTTCGGACTCCATTTGTTGAGGAACATGCGATGAATCACCCGCTCCACATTTCTTTGTTAAAGGAAGACCACATAAATCAAGGTTGCCACCATACGAGTCATTTTCAAATGTGTTGAATTGTGGACCTTGAGGAATTGGTCCGACGAGATGATTTTGAGAGAGGTTTAAGAAGGCTAGAAAGTTCATTCTTGTTAATTCCTGTGGAATCTTTCCAGTGAGCCGATTCCAAGAGAGATCTAAAGCTTCAAGCATACTCAATAGTCCTAGTTTCATTGGAATATCGCCTCTGAGATTGTTACTGGATAAATTGAGTAACCAAAGTGAGCTGAGATCCTTTAGTGTTTCCGGAATGACACCTTCAAAATGGTTGCGTGAGAGATCTATGGTTGTCATAATTGTGCTGATTCTTTGTAGCTCAATATCCTGCCCTTTGATTACCAAACTCACTGAATCCTCATACGATGTGACCAATGGCGAATACAACATAGATTCCATGTACTTGATATTTCCTGTGTCTTCGCCATCTAATTTGATCATTGCCTTGAAGTTTCCAAAAACATTTGCAGGAAGTGAGCCACTGAAATCATTACGAGAAAGATCAAAAATTCGCAACTTGGGAAAGCAAAACTTAGTCTGACATATACTTATAGGTCCATGGAATTTGTTCGACTTTAATATAAGGACCTGCAGCTCTTGAAGACTTCCGAGCCAAGCTGGAAACGTGTCATTTATTGCATTGTTCCCCACATCAAGGACTTGTAGACCATTACAATTGAGCAACGACACAGGAACAGGTCCTTCAAATTGATTACCATTTACGACAATGGTACTCAACGAAGTGCTGTGTGCACATAATGGAGGAAGATTCCCTGTGAAATTGTTCCTTCTTAAGTCTAGCACCGTTAGACTTGCCATGCTTCCCAAGCAATGTGGAACTGAGTCACTGAAGTTGTTGCGTGATAAATCTAATAAGATAAGTTTCATCATGTTACAAATGGATGAAGGTAGTGGACCCTGAAGGGAGTTAAATTTCAGATCAAGATACCCTAGGTTATGGAAATGCAATTGTGGTAGGTGGCCTGTTAAAGAATTATGAGAAAGGTTTAGGAACTGCAACGAGTCCCACCTCATGCCGCTAAACCAGTCAGGAATTTGACCACGAATCTTATTGTTAGAAATATCCAAGTACACAAGTGTCTTTACATTTCTCAAGAAGTGTGGAAAATCCTTCAGTTGACAAGATGATAAGAATAAAGATGATAGGCTAAGAAAGGTGATATTCATTCCCTCATCAATGGTGATGTTATTTGATGAAATTCCAAGGATTTCAAGGTTTGTGAGATTCACAAGTGATTGAGGAAAAGAACCACTGAGTTGATTATTGCTTAAATGCAGTTCTTTTAATGTTGGGTTTGTTTTGATCACTTCATCGGCTAGTCCTCTGAATCGGTTATGTTGGAGGGACACTGAAGATAGCAAAGGTAGGCTAAACACCCAAGATGGTATGGTACCATTCAGTGAGTTGTATGACAAATCCACAGAAGTTAGCTTTTGAAGCATGCTTGGGTTGCTAGGCAGTGGGCCAGATAGGGAGTTACTCGACATGTCTAAGTATTCAAGATTTGTCAAACTTAAAATTGAAGCGGGAAACGAACTGATGAAGCTGTTATAAGAAAGATGTAAAGTACGTAGCTCTTGGAGGTTAGAGAAAACATCAGGAATTTCACCTGAAAAGGAGTTGTCAGAAAGAAGTAAATAACGTAGCTCTTTGAGGTTAGAGAAAACATCAGGAATTTCACCTGAAAAGGAGTTGTCAGAAAGTTCTAAATAATATAGCTCTTGGAGGTTAGAGAAAACATCAGGAATTTCACCTGAAAAGGAGTTGGAGGAAAGATCCAAACTTGTGAGGTGCTTCAATTTAGAGATTGTGTAAGGAATATGGCCAGTGAAATGATTATTAGATAAATCCAACTCCCTAATTTGTGTTAGGTTGCCTATGGAATCAGGAATGGAACCCAAGAATTGACATTGTTTGAGGTTCAAGATATTCAAGGAACTGAAGGTGCCAATTGAATCAGGCAGCTTACCTTTGAGAAGATCATTATCACTCAATTTGAGCGTTTCCAAGCTGTTTGACGGAAGGAAAAAGCTCTCTGTGAGAACACCTCGCAGATTAGTATAACCAAGATCCAGGTACCTTAAGGAGGAAGAAGAAATATTCACAGGTATCGGAGATGAGATGTCGACTTCAAAGAGAGAAAGTATCTCCAGATTTGTGAAGTTCTGAAACATTGCTTCAAATGTTCTCTCATCAAGTTGTAATGCATAACCATAAGAAAGATCAAGTGAAACCAAATTGGAAAGGTATGAGATTTCTGTTGGGATTTTCCCACTAAAGAAAGAACAAGAAAGGTTGAGATGCCTCAAACTCCTCAATCGGCCAATGTTATGTGGGATCGAAGAGGTATTAAAGATATTGTAAGCAAGGTTTAGTGTGTGGAGATGATGAAGTTGGAAGAGGCTGCTGTTGGGATGAATACTTCCACTAAGCAGACTACAACTAAGGTCTAACCCGATAACATGACCGTTTAATAAGTCACAAGTGACTCCATCCCAACTGCAGCAATCCCTACTCTCATTCCAAGACTTTGTTTTTGGGAAAGAAGTATGACACATGGAGTATTCGGATTTAACTTTAAAGGATTGCTTAAACTGAAGCAAAGCAGAAGCTTCAGTGGGAGAGCAAAGATGATGCTCAAAGGAAGAAGAAAAGCATTCACTTATTAGCAACACAAAACACAGAAATGAATAAATGAAAAAGAAACGTCCCATTTTTTGTTTGTTTGTTTTCAGCAAATAACAGGATGTTTGTTCTCTTTTTACAAATCAATCAGCATTATCCACATATATATATATACTAGTTTCAGTTGTCATACATAAATTGAATACCTATAACATACTGATTAATGTAATCCTACAAGTAAAGTTTCAACAAGGTAGGATATACGCAGACCTTTATGAAGTAAAGTTTCAACAGTGTTTGTTGCAGTGCTTGTAATTCAATGAATACACCAAAAAACAAATTTGATATTTTCTTTAACACCCAACAATTTATTTTGCATAATGCAAAAGGTTTTACCGTTTGGTAGGCTTTAGAATATTCAAAAATAAAAATAGTAATAGTAAATAAAAAAGGTAAAAATAATAATATGGGTTCATGATGATCGTCAATATATAAATAAGTCAATAAAATAAGTAGTCATGTAAGAAAGAATGCTATAATTATCTAAACACTATTTTATTTCTTAATTATTACAACGACCTCCGTATTAAATAAAGCAAAAAGTTAACTAAACACTATTTCATAAAGTAACGTTGTTGACTTGTCTATGCATGAGACTATATTTAAAATAACACACAAAAACAGAAAATTAAAACACACAAAAACAGAATCCGAAAAGTTCAATCAACTAAAGACAAGTTGGCCCCTCTCAATCTTCCATTAAGTCCGTCGTCTCTGAGCTCTCTTCTTTGGCCTTCTTCTTTTGTGAGGCATGAGTCCATCAAAAAATTCCACAAACCATTTTGGCTTACGATATTTAACCATGAGAGTCCACATGACATTTCCAACAACTAGTCCAAAACTGTAGCCTATGACTACTGATTCCCACGTAAATCCACTAAAAAAATATGACTCGCCTTCTTCTTTGGACTCCAATTGTTGAGGAACATGCGATGAATCACTCGTTCCACATTTCTTTGTTAAAGGAAGACCACATAAATCAAGGTTGCCACCATATGAGTCATTTTCAAATGTGTTGAATTGTCGGCCTTGAGGAATTGGTCCGACGAGATGATTTTGAGAGAGGTTGAAGAATTCCAGAAAGTTCATTCTTGTCAATTCCTGCGGAATCTTTCCAGTGAGCCGATTCCAGGAGAGATCTAAAGCTTCGAGCTTATTCAATTGCCCCAATTGCATTGGAATACCACCTATGAGATTGTTATGGGATAAATTGAGTAGCCAAAGTGAGTTGAGATTCTTTAGTGATTTTGGAATGACACCTTCAAAATGGTTGCTTGAGAGACTTGTTAGGAATATTGATGGAAACTCCGTCAGCATTCCACCAAAGTCTTTAAACCAATTCCACAAAAACTACTGGTGGGAAAAAAGGACAAATATGACACAGTTCAAACATGAACAGATTGAAAATAACCAAAGTGTGGTTCATCAATTACTAGTGATCACGATAAATCGGGACTGATGAACAATTGAATCACAAAGTTAAAGAAAGAAAAAGTGTGTTTGTAACAACTGATTTGCGCCTTATTCTTTGTTATTTAATATACATCTTAAAAAAAGTGTTTTGCAAGTGTAATCCCACAAGTGTGGTCTGAGGACGTAGCTAGAGAGATTGTTTCTATAGACCCTTGACTCGAGATAAAGGTGTAGTGATCAAATTAACTCATAATTCTGTGTGTTTAAGTGGATCATCCATTCATTATGCTACTTAGTCAGGATCAAGAAAGAAACTGAAACAAACCTCCTAGCCGTTTTGTGAATTTTACATATTTTCCCTATTTGAAATAACCCTCGAAGTTGACAGCCAAATTTACTTTAGGACTTAAACTACACGGACATCCCAACTGCAACAATCCCTACTCTCATTCCAAGACTTTGTTTTTGGGAAACAATCTTCATAACACTCTTAACTACAGTACTCTTCGGACTTAATTTGAAAGGATTGCTTAAACTGAAGCAAAGCAGAAGCTTCAATGCTGCTATAAACTTTAACACTTTTTATTAATGTGTATATTTATTGCCGCTAAAAATTGTTTTTGTTGTAGTACTTGTAATTTAAAGAATACACCAAAAAACAAATTGATCTTTTTATTAACACCCAACAATATATTTTGTATAATGCAAAAGGTTTTACCGTTTGGTAGACTTTAGAATATTTAATAATGAAAGAATAAAAATAGAAAGAAGAATAAAAAAGGTAAACGTAATGGGTTCATGACAATTGCCAAGATATAAATAAGTCAATAAAATAAGTAGTCACGTAAGAAAGGATGCTATAATTAACTAAACACTATTCCATTTCTTAATTATTACAACGACCTCCACATTAAATACAGTGAACATTAACTAAATAGTATTTCATAAAGTAGCGTTGTTGACTTGTCTATGCATGGGACTATAAATTAACGAAAGAAAAGAAACACATCCAGACAAATAAAATGGGGTAATAATTTGTGGTTGCAGAAAAAGTTGTCCCAAGTGTTAAGTCAATTTTCAGTCACTTGTAATCCATGAATGAGTACTAGTCACTTCTAACAACTTGTTACACATCATTTTCCCTAGATGTTGTTGTTCATTTCGAGATCATCGATCGACTATCTCTACGGTGTGTGTGTTACGCAAGATGATGTGAAATTGTCCATGTTACGTAACACACTGTAGAAAATATTCTGCATAAGTTGTGAGAAATTTCCAATGAGAGAAACTATATATTACTTGACTAAGTCATGAAGTGAGGAAAAAAAGAATGAAGAATAATTAAAGACATGATTTTAAGTACTTCATTTCCTCCTATGTAACAACAAAACAATAATACCGTGTGGAATTTATTTTGTTCTTTTAAGCCAAAGTCTTTAATGAGCCAATTTCCACAAAGACTACAGGTGGGAAAAAGGACAACTATGATACAGTTTTTTATTTTTAAAAAAAATCTTTTTTTATAAAATATGATACAGTTCAAGTGGAGTAGTAGACATTTTCAGTTTTTCTACTATGTAAGTCCTAGGTGTAATATGTCACGTAGGATGTGTGAGTCTACACAGTTTTCTCAGTTTAAAAAAGGAATATCAATATCCACAACAAAAATTTTGATCATAATAGAGCAACTAATCTTTTAGAAGAGTCACAATTATTTGAAAAAGTCACAACTCATCGGGAAAATCACAACCCTTCAATGTGAAAAAAAAATGTTTTGGTATAATATAAACAAATAAATAAATAAGTATAAATATAAACTATAGAAGATATACTAAATTGAGTATTTTTAGTTGGGGTATTATAGTAATTTAACATTTAAGTTAGAGAATTCATATTCTTAAGATAGTACTAGTTTTGATGCACGTGAATGCCAAATCATGTAGTACACTATATTTTAAATTAAATAAATAAATATAAGTTGAAAATATTTTAGTAATTTAACATTTTTTAAGATAGTATAGAATAGATGAATAGATATATATCCTATTTTAAGTCATCCTTTTCCAACTTTCCATCAACATCTCTTCTTCTATTTTCCACAATACTTTTCAAAGAGAGAAACTTTAATCAAGTGAAACCATGTATGAATGCAATAATTTTTTATGCAATTTTTCCATGAAATTTAAACAATCATAAAAGGTTAATATTCCGAGTTAGTGATTAGTTGTCTCTTCTTCTATTTTCAAACTTGTTTGGTACACAATAATTTTCACATTAAGTTAATAAGGAAAAATCCATCTATATTCCATTCCACCTAAGGAAAAAACTGATACAGTATTGTAACTAGCGGACGGTGACTTGTAAGTCTTTGAGTCAATTTCCACAAAGACTAGAGGAAAAAAAAAAGATTATGATGAATCGGGACTGATGAACAATTGAATTACAAGACGAGTACTAGTCAGTTCTAACAACTTGTTACTCATATTTTGTAGTGTTCCACAAGATTTGTTAGAGGACGGAGAAGACTTAACAAAATAATATATACTCTCTATGTCCTAATTTTCTCTAGATGTTGTGTTCATTTTGAAGTCATTAACTATCTCTGCAGTGTGTGTTACGCAAGATGATGTGAAATTGATCCCATTATGTAGAAAAATTTTCTGCAGAACTTCTTAGAAATTTCAAATGGTAGAAACTATTGCTTGACTAAGTCAAGTGGAAAAAATGAACAATAATTAAAGGCATGATTTAAGTCCTTCATTTCCTGCTTAATTATTATGTTTGGAATAACTACTGCAGAGAAATTTCTGATTAGTTGTCTCTTGTGCTATTTTCCAAAACTTTTCACATTAAGTTAATGAGGGGAATTCCATCTATATGATACAGTTCAAATAGGAAGAGATGGAAAATAACACTTTTTACATATTTGCCCTATTTGAACACTTTTTTCAATTTTTCTATAAAATCTATACAATCATAAAAGGTCAATCCGAGTGAGTGATTAGTTGTATCTTCTGCTATTTTCAAACTTGTTAGGTACACAATAATTTTCACATTAAGTTAATAAAGGAAAATCCATCAATATTCCATTCCACCAAAGGAAAAAAGGTATACAGTATTGTAACTAGCAGACGATGACTTGTAAGACTTTAAGCCAATTTCCACAAAGACTAGAGGAAAAAAAAAAAGATTATGATGAATCGGGACTGATGAACAATTGAATCACAAGATGAGTACTACTCACTTCTAACAACTTGTTACTCATATTTTGTAGTGTTCTACAAGACTTGTTAAAGGACGGTAACAAAATAATTCTCTAGATGTTGTTGTTCATTTCGAGTCATCAACTATCTCTGCAGTGTGTGTTACGCAAGATGATATGAAATTGGTCTCATTATGTGGAAATTTTTTTTGCAAAATTTCTAAGAAATTTCCAATGTGAGAAACTATTGTTTGACCAAGTCAAGTGAGGAAAAAATGAACAATAATTAAAGACATGATTTAAGTCCTTCATTTCCTCCGTGTGGAATTTTATTTTTGAATAACTTGGTGAAGATCATTCCACCAGTAGAGAAATTTTGTGAGAAATTTCCGATTAATTGTCTCTTGTGCTGTTTTCATAGACCCTCGACTCAAGATAAAGGTGTAGTGATCAAATCAAGAAGATAAATAAAATGATGCACAAGCAAAGTTTTCTGTTTTTCGCTTTTAAAATCATGGAAGAAATTCCACCAACCATTTTGGCTAACCATCTTTAAACATGATGCTCCACATGACAGTTCAAACAAACAAATCCACAACTGTAGCAAAATACGACTCTTCTTTAGACTCCAATGGACGAGGAACATGTGATGGATCACTCATCCCATACGAGTTACTTTCAAATGTGTTGAACTGTGAACCTTGAAGAATCGGTCCGACAAGAACATTCTGAGAGAGGTTTAAGACGGCTCAGGAATCTTCCCAGTGAGCCAATTACAAGAGAAACCTAAAACTTCAAGCGTATTCAATTGTCGCAGTTCCATTAGAAAATCTCCTTTGAGATAGTAAATTGAGTAGCTAAAGTGAGCCAAGATCTTTTGTTGTTTTTGGACCTACGCCATCAAAATGATTGCTTTTCATAACATTATAATTAATTAGTTTTACAACTCTTCATTTTGCTACTTTATTAGAGCAATAAGTGAACATTATAAGTAATACAACTACACTATATATGAGGGAAAATAAAAGCAAATGAAGAAGAAGAATAAGAAAACAATAGACAAGTTGGGTATTAATTTCTTCAATAGATTTAGTATGAAGGCAAATATTAATCTATAAATTGAATTCAATATTGGATTTTGAAAAATCTGAGTAACATAGCTAATGAGTGGCTTGTGTAGATCACTTCTGTCAACTTGAAAAAAAAAAACAGATTAACATAACCATTGATACTAAAATAACACACATATAATTATGTTTCTAACATATACAAACAACAAATAGAAAATTAAAAAAGACAAAAACAGAACAGTTCACTAATTAGTCCACAAAATCAAACAAAGACAATTTAGCCCTCTCAATCTTCCATTAAGTCCTTCGTCTCCGAGCTCTCTTCTTTGGCCTTCTTCTTTTGTGAGGCATGAGTCCATCAAAAAATTCCACAAACCATTTTGGCTTACGATATTTAACCATGAGAGTCCACATGACATTTCCAACAACTAGTCCAAAACTGTAGCCTATGACTACTGATTCCCACGTAAATCCACTAAAAAAATATGACTCGCCTTCTTCTTTGGACTCCAATTGTTGAGGAACATGCGATGAATCACTCGTTCCACATTTCTTTGTTAAAGGAAGACCACATAAATCAAGGTTGCCACCATATGAGTCATTTTCAAATGTGTTGAATTGTCGGCCTTGAGGAATTGGTCCGACGAGATGATTTTGAGAGAGGTTGAAGAATTCCAGAAAGTTCATTCTTGTCAATTCCTGCGGAATCTTTCCAGTGAGCCGATTCCAGGAGAGATCTAAAGCTTCGAGCTTATTCAATTGCCCCAATTGCATTGGAATACCACCTATGAGATTGTTATGGGATAAATTGAGTAGCCAAAGTGAGTTGAGATTCTTTAGTGATTTTGGAATGACACCTTCAAAATGGTTGTCATAATTGCGCTGATTCTTTCTAGCTCAATATCCTGACCTTTGATTACCAAACTCAATAAATCCTCATACGATGTGACAAATGGCGAATCCGACACAGATTCCATGTACTTGATATTTCATGTGTCTTCACCATCTAATTTGATCATTGCCTTGAAGTTTCCAAAAACTTTTGCAGGAAGTGAGCCACTGAAATCATTACGAGAAAGATCAAAAATTCGCAACTTGGGAAAGCAAAACTTACTCTGACAAGTACTTGTAGGTCCATGGAACTTGTTCGACTTTAATATAAGGACCTGCAGCTCTTGAAGAATTCCGAGCCAAGCTGGAAACGTGTCATTTATAGCATTGTTCCCCACATCAAGGACTTGTAGACCATTACACTTGAGCAATGACACAGGAACAGGTCCTTCAAATAGATTACCATTTACGACAATGGTACTCAATGAAGTGCTGTGTGCACATAATGGAGGAAGACTCCCTGTGAAATTGTTCTTTCTTAAGTCCAACACTATTAGATTAGCAATGCTTCCCAAGCAACTTGGAATCAAGTTACTGAAGTTGTTGCGAGATAAATCTAATAAGATAAGTGAACTTGTGTTACAAATGGATGAAGGTAGTGGACCCTGAAGGGAGTTAAATTTCAGATCAAGATACTCTAGACTATAATAATGCAATTGTGGTAGGTTGCCTGTTAATGAATTATGAGAAAGGTTTAAGAACATCAACGAGAAGGTTTAAGAACATCAACGAGTCCCACCTCATGCCGCTAAACCAGTTAGGGATTGGACCACAAATCTTATTGTTAGAAATATCCAAGTACACAAGTGTCTTTACATTTCTCAAGAAGTATGGAAAATGCTTCAGCTCACAAGATGATAAGAATAAAGATGATAGGCTAAGAAAGGTGATATTCATTCCCTCATCAATGGTGATGTTGTTTGATGAAATGTCAAGGGTAAAAAGGTTTGTGAGATTCACAAGTGATTGAGGAAAAGAACCACTGAGTTGATTATTGTTTAAATTCAGTTCTTCTAATGTTGGGTTTGTTTTGATCACTTCATCGGCTAGTTGGAGCGACACTGAAGATAGCAAAGGTAGGCTAAACAGGCCAAGATGGTATGGTACCATTCAGTGAGTTGTATGACAAATCCAGCTTGGTTATCTTTGGAAGCATGCTTTCCTTGCTAGGCAGTGGGCCAGATAGGGAATTAGTCGACATGTCTAAGAATTCAAGATGTGTCAAGTTTAAAATTGAAGCGGGAAATGGACCGATGAAGTTGTTATGGTAAAGATATAAGGAACATAGCTCTTGGAGGTTAGAGAAAACATCAGGAATTTCACCTGAAAAGGAGTTAACTGAAAGATCCAAATAAGTGAGGTGCTTCAATTTAGAGATTGTGGAACGAATATGGCCAGTGAAATGATTATGAGATAATATCAACTCCGTAATTTGTGTTAGGTTGCCTATGGAATCAGGAATGGAACCAGAGAATTGACATCCTCCAAGGTACAAGATATTCAAGGAACTGAAGGTGCCAATTGAATGAGGCAGCTCACCAGAGATGCCTGTGTATGAAATATCCAACTCCATTAACAGAGTGTTGCTCCGGTGGATCTTTGGTAAAACTCCTTTGAGAAGATCATTCCCTCTCAATATAAGTGTTTCCAAGCTGTTTGGCAGAAGGAAAAAGCTCTCTGTGAGAACACATCGCAGATGAGTATATTCAAGATCCACGTACCTTAAGGGGGAAGAAATATTCACAGGTATCGGAGATGAGATGTTGACATAAGAGAGAGAAAGTATCTCCAGAGTTGTGAAGTTGTGAAGCATTGTTTGCTCTCAACAAACTAAATCACATGTATTCTAGATAGAAATTAAACAAAGTCCATAAAGGGACAGTCTTGCAACCAAAGACCATAATTTGAACCATAATGCATGAATTTAATCTCAATGATCTTATATGGTCATTCTGTGCTCCGAAAACAGAAAAGGACATTAACAGTGCGTTTGGTTATCTTATTTTCTGATTTTGGTTTCCAAAACATATGTTTTAGCAAAAACATTTTCCACCAAAAAGGAGCAAACAATTATCTCAACATATAGACATTATTATCAATCTTTACTACTCAAATATTTTCACCAAAACACTATCCGATTTGCTGATTCAATCTTCAATAAATGTCTTATACCAGAAAAAAAATCCATTACGAAAAACATTTTCCAGAAAATAAGTCATTTTACAGATTTATGATAAATGACATAGCTTTAGCTACAAGTACAGCAAAATCCAGTAGCTTTGGTTTAACCCTATATTAATGTTATAAGATCTAAAAATAGTCTTTTCAGTCAATGTTGCTTGGACTCTTCAAAAATGATGACGGGTGAGTGTCGGACACTCCAAACTAGTGCAACATTAGAGAATCCGACACGGGTACAAACAACATTTTCTGAGAGTCCGAGCAGCATAGCTTTCAGAAACCCAACATAGCAAAAAAGAACTGTGATCTAAAAATTCTGACTCCGCCTCTACGTCCTACCAAATACATCCTAAAAAAAAAAGGTTAAAGACTTCACCTTTTGTTGATTTGAGAAAACAACCCAAGAAGGGTATTGTTCTGGTGTAAAGATTTTTCTTGAATCTTCCACTGTCATTTTAGCAAATGCAGCAATTCCACTAGCCTTCACAATTCAACCAAAAAAACAACATAAATACAAAAAACCCCAGAAATGGAAAAAAATAAAAATCCAAAAAAAACAAAGACTTTAGTTGACTAACCAGATCAGTACGTTGTTTGGATCTAGCATTTTCAGATTTCACAAAAGCAACTATTATAGCAAGTCCAAATGCTATTCCAAACACAACCCCTAAAACAAATGACATTTTTTTCCCACTTTTTGTTAAATCCCCTCTTCCTTGTTCAATGATTTTTGTGAGGTAATAAACTGAAAAATGTTGAAAAGAACTAAAAAATAGGTGAGATTTTGAATCTGTTTTTGGAGTTTTCTTCTTATGGGGTTTTCCTAAAAGGTGAATTCTTGAAAAAAAATTACATCTTGAGATTCACTGAAACTTAAAATTGTTGAAAGAAGAACTCAAAGTTGGGATTTTTAATCTGTATTTTTGGAGTTTTCTTCTGGTGGGGTTCTTCCAACAAGTAAATTCTTGAAAAAAACAAATTAAAAAGTATATCTTGAGACTCAATGAAAGTTGGAATATTAGTATTGAAAAGTGAGACTTTGTTTTAATTTGTTTGTCTAGTTTTTACCGACTTGATATAAGTTTAAGAAAGTGAAAAAAATCTTTGAATCGTATGCTTTTAAAATAATTTTTAAATATGTCACGTGGAATATTAAAATTTAAAAATTCAAACAAAAAAAATAAATAAAGAAGAATTTTCAATGATATAATATTAAATTAAAGTTATATAAAAAATATATCAAAATATCTTTTAATATTATAATCTTAAACATATATCATGTGAAACATTGAAATTTAAAAAATTATTTAAAAAGAAAAATATTATTCTTTTTTAGATAAATTAAAATATAAAGTATGATAAATAAATTAAAATTAAAAAAATAATAAAACAAACAAATTAAAACAAAGAAAACGATATTTTCAATATATCTTTCTTGTTATGATCAAAGCTTTGAACGGCCATAACCAGACAAAGATACTTTAATTGTTTTCAAAGTGTCCAAACTAAAATTAGGAAAAGAATATAGGAAAGTCATTTGGCCTTTGCAGATGATATGATTATTCTATGTAAAGAGGAGGTGAGAACAATGCAATTGATCACAGAAACTTTGAAGAAATATGAAGATATATCGGGCCAGAAGGTGAACAAAGAGAAAAGTGCAATTTACTTGCACCATAGTGTTTTGGGAGGAGAGGCAATAGTGGCGGAAGTAGCAACAGGTATTTTAAGAAAGGAATTTCCTTTTACATACCTGGGTTGCCCTATTTTCTACAAGAGGAAGCAGAAGGCATATTATCAGCAAATGATACAAAGGATTGGGTCCAAGATACAAGCCTGGAAAGGCAAACTGTTATCCTTTGGGGGCAGAGCAATTTTAATTAAACATGTATTGCAGAGTACTCCTATACACTGTCTATCAGTCATGAACCCACCAATCAATGTATTAACGCATGTCCAAAAAATGATGGCTCAATTCTTTTGGAGTAGTTGCGTAGGAGGGAGGGTAAGACAGTGGACAAAATGGAGTAACCTATGTTTACCAGAAAAAGAAGGGGGTTTTGGTTTTAGGTTGATGCAAGATCTAGCAATGGCTCTGTTTTGTAAGTTATGGTGGAACTTTAGAACAAAGCCATCGATATGGAGGGAATACATGGAGAACAAGTATTGCAGGAAAACGCATGTTACTGAAATTATGTGGAAACCGGGAGGAGGGGGATCACAAGTATGGAAAAAAAATGCTTCAAGCTAGAGATCTCATTGAACACCAAATTTTATGGAAAATGGAGAAAGGATCAGTATCAATCTGGCATGATAACTGGACGGGCCTAGGGGATTTGTACACTATTACTGGAGAAGAATTTCAATGTGATGATACATATAAAACAGTTAGGGATTTAACTAGACAAGGGGAGTGGGATACAGAGGTACTACATGAGATACTCCCACAGGAATTGGTAAACCATATTCTGCAGAATATTCATCCTCCAAAAGAAGAAGCAGCAATGGATAAACCTTGTTGGATGCCAGAGACAAGGGGAAGTTTCTCAGTTAAATCTACTTGGCATTATATCAGACATAAGGCGGAGGAAAACAAAATTTATAAATGGATGTGGAGTAAGGGTGTACCATTTAAAATAGCTTTCACAATGTGGAGATTATGGAAATTTAAAATCCCCGTTGATGACATAATGAGAAGATGGGGTCTTGAAGGCCCATCCAAATGTTGGTGTTGTGAAAGACCTCAACATGAGACACTTGCCCATGTGTTTCTGAAAATCTGATTCAGCTAACAGGACTTGGTCCTATTTTTGTTCTTTTGCAGGTCTTAACATAGAGGGTCTCCAACTAAGAGAAGTTATAATGTTGTGGTGGGGGACAAAAATTGGGACAAATATGAGACCTTTTTACAGAGCTCTTCCTAGTTTTATAATATGGGAGTTGTGGAGAAAGAGAAACAAGATGAAGCATGAAGGAAAAAAGACATCAGTAGCAATAGTCATTCACAATATCACCAGGAACATGTATATGCTGGTAAGACTCAGGAAACCCTATATGACATGTCCTGTTAACTGGCCTGATATGCTCATAGAATGGACAAGCTACAAACCTAAAATGAAAGTGAAAAAGGTCTTATGGGAATTCCCACTGAATGAGTGGGTAAAATACAATACAGATGGAACTTCTAGAGGAAATCCAGGTCTTAGTTCCTATGCCTTCGTTTTAAGGAATGCTAAAGGAGATGTAGAATACGTGGAAGGAGCAAGTATAGAAAATACTACTAATACAGTTGCGGTAGCTAAAGCTATTCTGGAGGCATCCAAGCATTGCAAGAAGTCACAACATAATCAAATAATCATACAGACTGATTCAATGCTTTTGTACAAGGTATTAGAAAGGAAATGGGCATGTCCATGGATAATTGCGGAAATGGTGACAGGGTTTCAATCATGTCTACAAGATAAACAAGTTATTTTCCAACATATTCTAAGGGAAGGAAACAAGCTAGCAGATCATGTGGCAAACTTTGATATTGACCGAGGGAGCTGCACATTCACAAATTTTAACAGGAAGACACCTGCGAGGAGACTCATAAATAATGACAAATTACTATGCCCATATTTAAGAGTATCATCCTTAAGGGGATAGGGGACAAGGGAAGGCTACAACATATATTTTTCCACAAACAACAAAATTACATAGAAGTTAAAGGCAACAAAATAGGGAAAATGCTATTGTTATTCTAAGATGGAGCTTTTAACCTGGAGATGGAGGAATTGAACTACCCTTGCACTCCATCGCAAAATCACCTGCAGAATGATGGGAATCAGAGACCAAAAGAGGGAGAAAAGAAGAAAAGAAAGCAAGAGGAAGAAACTTTTGAACACAACTGGAAAAAAGCATAAAGGTCAGTAACATGGAGGCAACATTGTTGTTCATGTACAGAAGCAGTGAAGAGAGCTAAGGCGAAGAGGCGGAGATAGCGGCGAAAATCCTATCTTAGAATATCAGGTTTACGAAAGGGCCTGGTCTATTTGTTGTTTTTTCCATTTTTAGTAGTGGGCTTGACAAGGTTGGACACTAGCTGTTGGGGTGTAAGAAGGTGTAATTTCTTGTTTTGATTTTGGAAGCTATGAATAAAATATCCAAAACTTAAACCAAAAAAAAAATAATATATGAATTAGTTGTTGAACAACCGGACACATCTTTTGTCATGAAGTATAAATATATGTAAAAAATCTACCAAAATCAAAATCGCGAAAGTTGATACTGAGTTAGAGAATAGTTTAAGGCTGAGTTATGATTAGAAAGATGCAGAACCACAAAATTATTTGCCAATTCTGTAGTTTTGAGTACTCTTCTATATCAATTTTTCAAAAAATTAACCTTCTTATATCAAGTGATTTCAATCATAAACCAAACTGATCAATTTGCTTACTGCTTTGCTTTCTCCTGTTTTGTTATGCTGATGAGCTATGTTGCTCCGACTCTCCTAAAAATAAAATGATGTTGCATTTGTGTTGGTTTCATAAAAAATGCACTACTTTTGAAGAATCCAATACGTAGTGGTTGACATTTTAAAAGAGTCTGAGTAACATAACTAATGAATGGCTGTGTAGATCACTTCTATCAACTTGAAACAGAAACAAACTAACATAACACACATATAATTATGTTTCTATCAAACATATACAAACAACAAACAGAAAATTGAAAAGACAAAAACAGAACCAGAAAAGTTCACTAATTAGTCCACAAAATCAAACAAAGATAAGTTGGCCCTCTCAATTTTCCATTAAGTCCGTCGTCTCTGAGCTCTCTTCTTTGGCCTTCTTCTTTTGTGAGGCATGAGTCCATCGAAAAATTCCACAAACCATTTTGGCTTACGATATTTAAACATGAGACTCCACATGACAGTTCCAACAACTAGTCCAAAACTGTAGCCTATGACTACTGATTCCCATGTAAATCCACTAAAAAAATATGACTCGCCTTCTTCTTCGGACTCCAATTGTTGAGGAACATGTGATGAATCACTCGTTCCACATTTCTTTGTTAAAGGAAGACCACATAAATCAAGGTTACCACCGTACGAGTCATTTTCAAATGTGTTGAACTGTAGACCGTGAGGAATTGGTCCGACGAGATGATTTTGAGAGATGTTTAAGACTGCCAGAAAGTTCATTCTTGTCAATTCCTGCGGAATCTTTCCAGTGAGCAGATTCCAAGAGAGATCTAAAGCTTCAAGCTTATTCAATTGCCCCAATTCCACTGGAATATGACCTATGAGATTGTTATGGGATAAATTGAGTAGCCTAAGTGAGCTGAGGTCCTTTAGTGCTTCCGGAATCACACCTTCAAAATGGTTGCTTGAGAGATCTATGGTTGTCATAATTGTGCTGATTCTTTGTAGCTCAATATCCTGCCCTTTGATTACCAAACTCACTGAATCCTCATACGATGTGTCAAATGACGAATTCAACACAGATTCTATGTACTTGATATTTCCTGTGTCTTCACCATCTAATTTGATCATTGCCTTGAAGTTTCCAAAAACTTTTGCAGGAAGTGAGCCACTGAAATCATTACGAGAAAGATCAAAAATTTGCAACTTGGGAAAGCAAAACTTAGTCTGACACATACTTATAGGTCCATGGAACTTGTTCGACTTTAATATAAGGACCTGCAGCTCTTGAAGACTTCCGAGCCAAGCTGGAAACGTGTCATTTATAGCATTGTTCCCCACATCAAGGACTTGTAGACCATTACACTTGAGCAACGACACAGGAACAGGTCCTTCAAATCGATTACCATTTACGACAATGGTACTCAATGAAGTGCTGTGTGCACATAATGGAGGAAGACTCCCTGTGAAATTGTTCCTTCTTAAGTCTAGCACCGTTAGACTAGCCATGCTTCCCAAGCAATGTGAAACTGAGTCACTGAAGTTGTTGCGTGATAAATCAAGAAATTCGAGCGAGCTCATGTTACAAATGGATGAAGGTAGTGGACCCTGAAGGGAGTTAAATTTCAGATCAAGATACCCTAGGTTATGGAAATGCAATTGTGGTAGGTGGCCTGTTAATGAATTATGAGAAAGGTTTAGGAACAGCAACGAGTCCCACCTCATGCCGCTAAACCAGTTAGGGATTTGACCACAAATCTTATTGTTAGAAATATCCAAGTACACAAGTGTCTTTACATTTCTCAAGAAGTATGGAAAATGCTTCAGTTCACAAGATGATAAGAATAAAGATGATAGGCTAAGAAAGGTGATATTCATTCCCTCATCAATGGTGATGTTATTTGATGAAATGTCAAGGGTAAAAAGATTTGTGAGATTCACAAGTGATTGAGGAAAAGAACCACTGAGTTGATTATTGCTTAAATGCAGTTCTTTTAATGTTGGGTTTGTTTTGATCACTTCATCGGCTAGTCCTCTGAATCGGTTATGTTGGAGCAACACTGAAGATAGAAAAGGTAGGCTAAACACCCAAGATGGTATGGTACCATTCAGTGAGTTGTATGACAAATCCACAGAAGTTAGCTTTTGAAGCATGCTTGGGTTGCTAGGCAGTGGGCCAGATAGGGAGTTACTCGACATGTCTAAGTATTCAAGATTTGTCAAACTTAAAATTGAAGCGGGAAACGAACTGATGAAGCTGTTATAAGAAAGATGTAAAGTACGTAGCTCTTGGAGGTTAGAGAAAACATCAGGAATTTCACCTGAAAAGGAGTTGTTAGAAAGATCTAAATAACGTAGATCTTTGAGGTTAGAGAAAACATCAGGAATTTCACCTGAAAAGGAGTTGTCAGAAAGATGGAAAGTTGTGAGGTGCTTCAATTTAGAGATTGTGGAAGGAATATGGCCAGTGAAATGATTATTAGATAAATCCAACTCCCCAATTTGTGTTAGGTTGCCTATGGAATCAGGAATGGAACCAGAGAATTGACATCTATGGAGGTTCAAGATATTCAAGGAACTGAAGGTGCCAATTGAATCAGGCAGCTCACCAGAGATGCCAGTGAATGAAATATCCAACTCCATTAACAGAGTGTTGCTCCGGTGGATCTTTGGAAAAACTCCTTTGAGAAGATCATTATCACTCAATTTGAGCGTTTCCAAGCTGTTTGACGGAAGGAAAAAGCTCTCTGTGAGAACACCTCGCAGATTAGTATAACCAAGATCCACAGGTATCGGAGATGAGATGTTGACTTTAAAGAGAGAAAGTATCTCCAGATTTGTGAAGTTCTGAAATATTGCTTCAAATGTTCTCTCATCAAGTTGTAATGCATAACCATATGAAAGATCAAGAGAAACCAAATTGTTAAGGTATGAGATTTCTGTTGGGATTTTCCCATCAAAGCCAGAGAGTTTTAGAAGCCTCAAATTCCTCAATCGGCCAATGCCATTTGGGATTGAAGAAGGATAAAAATAATTGTTAACAAGGTTTAGTGTGTGGAGATGATGAAGCTGGAAGAGGCTGCTATTGGGATGAATACTTACAGGTATATGTGATGAGGTGTTGCCAAGAGGGAGAGCTAGTAACTCCAGATTTGTAAAGTTGTGAAGCATTGTTTCAAATGTTCTCTCATCAAGTTGTAATCCATAACCAGAAATATCAAGTGAAACCAAATTAGAAAGGTATGAGATTTCTGTTGGGATTTTCCCATCAAAGCCAGAGAGTTTTAGAAGCCTCAAATTCCTCAATCGGCCAATGCCATTTGGGATTGAAGAAGGATAAAAATAATTGTTAACAAGGTTTAGTGTGTGGAGATGATGAAGCTGGAAGAGGCTGCTATTGGGATGAATACTTACAGGTATATGTGATGAGGTGTTGCCAAGAGGGAGAGCTAGTAACTCCAGATTTGTAAAGTTGTGAAGCATTGTTTCAAATGTTCTCTCATCAAGTTGTAATCCATAACCAGAAATATCAAGTGAAACCAAATTAGAAAGGTATGAGATTTCTGTTGGGATTTTCCCATCAAAGCCAGAGAGTTTTAGAAGCCTCAAATTCCTCAATCGGCCAATGCCATTTGGGATTGAAGAAGGATAAAAATAATTGTTATCAAGGTTTAGTGTGTTGAGATGATGAAGCTGGAAGAGGCTGCTATTGGGATGAATACTTACAGGTATCGGTGATTTGATGTTGACTTCAGAGAGAGAAAGTATCTCCAGATTTGTCAAGTTCTGAAACATTGCTTTAAATGTTCTCTCATCAAGTTGTAATCCATAATCATAAAAAGTAGAAGAAAGATGAAGTGAAACCAAATTGGAAAGGTATGAGATTTCTGTTGGGATTTACCCATCAAAGCCAGAGAGTTTTAGATTCCTCAAATTCCTCAATCGGCCAATGTTATGTGGGATTGAAGAAGTTGAGAAGTCATTGTAAGCAAGGTTTAGTGTTTGGAGATGATGAAGCTGGAAGAGGGTGCTATTGGGATGAATACTTCCACGAAGCAGACTACAACTAAGGTCTAACCCGATAACATGACTATAAAATTAGAAAAGATGTATTTTTAACGGCATTTAACACTCTTTGCATATGTCCTTAAAGCTTTTTGCGACATTGGATCTAATGACACTTAACTAATACCGGTAAAATCTTTAACACTCTTTATTAATGTGTATATTTATTGCCGCTAAAAGTTGTTTTTGTTGTAGTGTTTGTTGCAGTGCTTGTAATTCAAAGAATACACCAAAAAACAAATTTGATCTTTTTTTTGACACCCAACAATTTATTTTGTATAATGCAAAAGGTTTTACCATTTGATAGGCATTAGAATATTCAATAATGAATAAATAAAAATAGTAATAGGAATAAAAAGGTAAAAATAATAATATGGGTTCATGAAGATCGTCAATATATAAATAAGCCAATAAAATAAGTAGTCATATAAGAAAGAATGTTATAATTATCTAAAGGGAAAATGCATAAGTACCCCCAAGCCTATACCCAAAATCCCTGAGACACACCTAACCTTTACTAAGGTCCTATTACCCCCCCGAACTTATTTTATATATAATTTTCTACCCCTTTTCGGCCTACGTGGCACTATCTTGTGGGCCCAGTGCATGTTGACAATTTTTTCAAGGATAGTGCCTTGTAGGCCGAAAAGGGGTAGAAAATTATATATAAAATAAATTCGGGGGGTAATAGGACCTTAGTAAAGGTTAGGTGTGTCTCAGAGATTTTGGGCATAGGCTAGGAGGTACTTGTGCATTTTCCCTTATCTAAACACTATTTTATTTTTTAATTATTACAACGACCTCTATATTAAATAAAGTAAACAGTTAACTAAGCACTATTTGATAAAGTAACGTTGTTGACTTGTCTATGCATGAGACTATGAGGTATAAATTAACGAAAGAAAGGAAACACATCCAGACAAATAAAATGAGGTAATAATTTGTGGTTACAAAAAAAGTTGTCCCAAGTGTTAAGTCAATTTCCAGGAAGACTCAAAGTCACTTCTAACAACTTGTTACACATATTTTGTAGTGTTCCATAAGACTTTTTAGAGCACGAAGAAGACTTAACAAAATAATACTTCGGCCAAACACATATGCAGACATTTAAATTTGTTCTTAAATTTCACTGTGGCACTCCAACTCAACCTTGTTCCATTTTAACCCTTCAACTCCAATTGTTCCATTTAGGTACTTCTTTCCAAAGAATCAACAAAGTGGATGTGCGTATTTCACACACCATGACATGGCATAAAATTCAATTAAAAACATACACAACCCATCTAACTTGCCCCCATTTTTCATTTTGACACTCTAACTTAGTCTTGTTCCATTTTAATCCTTCAACTCTATTTTATATACAATTTAAACACAAAATACTAAATTTATTATTTCTTCATTTTTATTTATGTTCTTCATTTTCACTTTTTCATTTTAAAAATTAACGTCATAGCTTTTTTCTTTAAAAAAATAATAATTAATGGATGAACATCAATTTTTTTTAAAAATATTTATTTTAGAGTTTTTGTACATTATTGTGTGAAAAAAAAACTAACGTAAGTGTGTTGGTTTTCTTTTTTGAACAATTAATTAAATTAAATAACACCACATATTTTTTTCATATCTAGTCTATTTGGATCTAACTCAAATACCAGCTTTCTAATTTTTCATTCAAATAAATACGAGTAAAAAAAATTCATGTCCATTGCTAACTAACTCAACAGACTTCGTTGGGTTGTCATTGATTTTCTTATGAAAGAAAAATCAATGTACTTTCGTCGGTTATTTTTCATGCAAAAATACACAGAAACTCTAAAATAAATTGTTACTTTTTTTTTAATATAAAAAATCAATGATCATCCATCAATTTTTAATTTTTACAATAACAAACGGATGAACGCCGATTATTTAAATTAAAAATTGCAATTGAAGAGCACATATAGAAATAAAGAAATCATAAAATTAGTATTTGTGTTTAAATAGTACATTAAAAAAAAAAGAGTTGAAGGGTTAATCTTTTATTATTTTTTAAAAGAAAAAAATACTTTTTTTTTGTCTTTCACTCTCTTAGAGAAAGGGTGATGCACACACTCTGCCACATCACATAGAAGAGCCTAAATGAAATATAAAAATTGGAGTTAAAGGGTTAAAATGGATCAAGGTTAAGTTGGAGTGCCAAAATGAAATTTAAGGACAAATGTAAGGGTCTGATTGGCCTAATACTTCCTATGTCCTCATTTTCTCTAGATGTTGTTATTCACATCAGGGTCATCGATCATATATCTCTGCAGTGTGTGTTACGCATGCAAGATGATGTGAATAGGTCCCGTTACGTAACACTCACTATAGAAAATATTTCTGCAGAATTTTGGGACAAATTTCCAATGATAGAAACTATTGCTTGACTAAGTCAAGTGAGGAAGAAGTTGAAGACAATAACACCGTGTGGAATTTTATTTAAAATTTTGTTTGATAAGTGTTTTCCTGGTTAATTAGTATGATTTGTATAATTTGTTGAAGATCATTCCAAGTAATTGATTAGTCTGTTTTACAAACTTGTCTATAAATTTCCACAAAGACTACTGATGGGAAAAAAGAAAAATATGATATTTTGCAACAGTAAGACCTGCTAAACTAGTAGTTTGTAACGACTTGTTTGTGCCTTATTCTTTAGCTATTCAATATACGTCTTAACAAAAGTGTTTTGTAAGTGAAACAGAGTAACAACGTAACATACCTAGTGTAATCCCACAAGTAGGATCTGAAGAGAGTGATGTGTACCTTTGTTTCCAATAGTTCGAAGGTATTTTAGGCTTTTTTCCGTTTGTTATATTTTTTGTTTCTCGAAAAATTTTATGCTAGAGCTTTAAAGAAATTTTCTTACTATCAACTTGTCTAAAAGTAACTATAGATGACTCTTCATTATAAGTGAAATTAATAAACTGCAAATCAAGGTAAGCAACATGCTAACTACAACACGTTAAATTATACTGATTGTAGACTTCATATTGTTGGTATATATAATTAAAATTCGTTTAAATATGAATATCATATGGAAAGAAATTTTTTGAATCCTTAACTTCATGGTGAATGACCCAAATATATATGCCACAACTTAATGGGCTTTTAGAAATTGCAAAAGAGGGTTAAATATGTGAATTAAGGTGAATTTATGATTAGTTTTAAGTCGTTACAATAATTGAGTTACAATTATTATCTTTGCCGGCAATAGTAAAAGCGACAAATATGCTTGTTTCGGCTTTAATGGCAATAGTAAAGGCCGCTAAAAGAAATTACTTTTAGTGGCAATAATAAGGGTCTTTACCGGCACTCGACATAAATGTCACTAAAGGCTTTAGCGACATTGGATCCAATGACGTTTAATCAAATGCCGGTAAATGTATTTGTGGCAATAAATATTGCTGTTAAAAGAAAAATCAATTGCCGCTAAAGGTCTCTTTTGGTGAAGTGTATGAGGTATAAATTAACAAAAGAAAAGAAACACATGCATCCAGACAAATAAAATGGGGTGCTTTCCCCCCATCTACCACTAACTAATTTGTGGTTGCAAAAAAATTGTCCCAAGTGTTAAGTCTATTTCCAGAAAGACTCAAGTCTTTAAATCTTGTTTGATAGTACCAATATTTGTTTTGTCCGATTTTGGCATCACTTGACTAGTCACTTCTAACAACTTGTTCGAGGACGGAGAAGACTTAACAAAATAATACTCCCTATGTCATAATTTTCTCTAGATGTTGTGTTCATTTCGAGGTCATTAACTGTCACTACAGTGTGTGTTACGCAAGATGATGCATGTGAAAATTGGTCCCAGTATATATGTGAAAATTAGTCCCATTATATATGAAATTTCCAATGACAGAAACTATTGCTTGACTAAGTCAAGTGAGGAAAAAAATGAACAATAATTGAAGACATGATTTAAGTCCTCCATCTACTTGTAGTATGTAACAACAAAACAATAATACCGTGTGGAATTTTATTTTTGTTCTTTTATTCAGAATTTTGTTTGATATTCCTGCATAATTAATATGTTTTGAATAACTTGGTGAAGAACATTCACCTGCTGAGAAATTTCCGATTAGTTGCGTTGTCTCTTGTGCTGTTTTCCACAAAAAAATTTTACTCGGGTCGTAATAAACGCGACAGTAGGTATAATTTTACTTACCAAACACACCACAAATTTTACAACAGCAAGACCTCCTAGACTAGTTGTTTGTAACGACTGGTTTGCGCCTTATTCTTTAGGTCTAATTTGTCGCTGAATGATGTGATGTCTTTAGGCGTTCAACATACATCTTAACAAAAGTGTTTTGCAAGTGAAACAGTGTAATAACAACAACATAGTCGGTGTAATCCCATAAATAGGGTCTGAGGAGGTGGTGTGTACCTTGAGAAAATATCATCTGTTTTGTCTCTATGTAGGCAAATTCAGAAGAATAAGTTTTTCCCCATATTTGCTTCTAAACATTTTAGAATCGCCTCAACCTCCTTGAGGTCCAGGCACTTGAGCATTCAATGTTCAATTTTCATTACAAGAATGAACAGGCCTTTAAGTCGAAGTGAATGAACATGTATTCAAAGATCTAAAAATGGTCAGAAATTAACATCTGCCCATCCAACACAACAGTCCACTGCTACTTAAACACAAAAAATCGAACTTCAAATGTAGATGTCTTTCTTTTAGCTTTTTTTTTTTAAGAATATAATTG